TAAGGAAGAGTTGACATTTTAGTATTTATATACGTACATATTTGAATCGTTCCGATATAGGAGGCTTTAAAGTGGTGTGATATGGGTTTAATAATGGGCGCTCCGATTTCCGGCAACGTGCTCGCGTACCTTGCCAGTGCGGTGCATCATCGATTGATCGACAAAGCTGAGAATTTTTATGAATCTTCGACCACGTCTGTCGCGGACATAGACGATTCCTCGGCAGGTCTTCCCAACCCTGCCTCTTTGGTAACGTTTTTGAATTAACGTCGACTGCATGTTTCTGTTTCGCTCTGTACGTCTGCTTCTCCAGAACCTGAACGTTTGCGAAGATGTGAAGCGACTGCCTGTTCAGCGAATTAGCTGCCCAAGCGTTATGCAGTTCAGGGAACACTATCTGACTACTCGAACCCCGGTGATCATCACCGATGCGATGTGCACATGGCCCGCTTTGAAGAAATGGAGGTATGTCTCTCTCAAAATTGACTCTGCCTTCTCTAAATCTCTTCGTTAATCATTCTCTTCCTTTTAGCATACCCTATCTTCTCTCGAAGATGGCCTACCGGACTGTACCCATTGAAATCGGCTCAAAGTACAGTGACGACGACTGGTCTCAGAAGTTGTTGCCGTTCCACCAGTTCATCGCTGACTACATAACCAAGCACGGCAACGTCGGCTACTTGGCTCAGCACGAATTGTTCGAGCAGGTAACATCTCTATAAGGCAGCCGTTTCTGTTTGACCAGGCGACTTCAGCAGCGGCTGTTGTTTGTGCCATCAAGTAGCTATTCAAAATAAGGACAGATATATCCAATTCTGTTGGTGCTGAACCACTTTGGAGCCGTGACTTGCTTAACTTCCCTTCCCTACCTAAGCACCTAGGAGCAGTGGCATGTTGTGCTGTGATATTGCGCTAAGAAGGAGTTACTAACCTTTTAACGCATTGTAATATAAGTTTTATAAATTTAAAAGGCAGGTGTTTTGATTCACGTCGACCTCACACTTAACGTCCTTTCAAACTTTTCAAGACCAGTTGTGTGGCGAGTTCGATTACTACTTGTTTCAGATCCTTAATATATGTACTTACGGCATAGCTGGATATCTAAAG